TCTTCTTTCCAATTGGCCATTAAAATGCTAATATGTATAATGCCAAAGAATTTAAACAGTACAAACGATAGAAATTGTTTCCGATCCCAAGTTTCTTCTTCATTTTCTTTCTTTACTGTCAACCGCAGTAGTTTCTTGTGTATCTTTCAAGAAATTTTCTATGCCTGTAAAAATGTATAATATATCCTACATGTGCTTCTTTTTATGTTACTTAATAATGTAACTTAGAGCATATTTCATATTAGCACATACAAACCTACCTTATTCTTTGTAGTTGCTGCACTATATTCCATTGAGTGAATGAACCATGACTGAATAAGTGTTTTCTGGTACATCTATCTAACTCATATTGATGGACATTTTTGTGGCTTCTAATCATTTTCTGTTGCAAATAATGCTGCAATAAAGATCCTGGTACATTCATACTTGAGTACCTGTAGGATCAGTTTTTTGAAGTGGAGTATCTTTATCAAAGTGTGTGTTCATTTCAACTTTTGATAGGCACTGCAAAATAGGCAAACGTGTCAATTTCTGAGAACCTCAATGGCCTATTCTGTAAAACGGGAGTCAAAACAATAAGTATGTCTAGGGCTGTTGTGAGGATTGAGTGAGATAAGATGCGTTAATGGTGTTGCCGGATATAGTGAATTAAAATATAAGACTCTAGTTAAATTTGGATTTTAGATAAACAATAATGTTTTTGTATAAATATGTCCTAAATATTGGATGGAATACATACTAGAAATAATTTGTTTATTTGAAATTCAAATTTAATGGGGTGTTATTTACTTTTTTCTTTTTTTTTTTTTTTAAGACGGGGTTTCACTTTTTTTTCCCTGGTTGGAGTGCAATGGCGCGATCTCGGTTCACCACAACCTCCGCCTCCTGGGTTCAGGCAATTCTCCTGCCTCAGCCTCCTGAGTAGCTGGGATTACAGGCACGCACCACCATGCCCAGCTAATGTTTTTGTATTTTTAGTAGAGACGGGGTTTCACCATGTTGACCAGGATGGTCTCGATCTCTTGACCTCGTGATCCACCCGCCTCGGCCTCCCAAAGTGCTGGGATTACAGGCTTGAGCCACCGCGCCCAGCCTGGTGTTATTTACTTTTATTCGGTGCCCTATATTTGAAGAGATCAGTACAGTCCCTGGAATGCAGTAAGCACTAAATAAATGTTGGCTGCTATAATTCTTATTAGACGTTCAGGCAAACGCTATCATTCAACAAATGTTTTTGGAAATAATGATTCTATATTCCTTAATTTATTTATCATTCATTCAATACATACTTACTGAGTGCCTGCTATGAACTAGGCATTATTCTAAGTCCTCAGGATGGAGTGGTGAAGAAAAGGGAAGAAAAGTGTATGAGCAAGAGGATGCTTTTGAATGTTATAGGGCTGATATGTGCTTGAGATTAAAGAAGAAACCAAGCTCAGCGTTAAGTGGATTGATTGGTTAATTAGAGGAGGTCAATTATATTGACCTTTATTATCTTCTGTCTCTAGTACCCCAGCACTTCTGAAGCTTGTGAGGAAATCCCCTTTTCAGGAATCTGTGTTGCTGGTGGGAAATCAGGAGCATTAGAACATGGAAAAGGTGACCTGATGAACCCATTGAAAATCCCCTCTTTTGTTTCTTAAACTTTAATAATGCACTTGCAATATTGCTTGCAAAAGTGTTGGTTAAGGTGAACACTTGATTTTCAGCTTTTGAAAACAATAGTCTAGTGACATGGAGCATGGTAGGTTCTACCTTACTGTCAGACTTGAATTTTCTCAAGGAGATTTTCTGCGAAGTCTAGCAGCTCTTAGTATGCTATGCCTCATCAGGAAGAAGCAGGTTCAGACCAGTTTATCAAAAATTATTAGTTGCAGTTGCTATCTCTTACCTCTTTTTCTTAGAATTCAGAGTTATGAGAGTAGATACATAGTGATATTTTAAAAAAATTTTGCTTAAAATAATTCTAGTTGCCATTCTGTGGCAGTTAAACTCCATATGTTTTATGGTGCCTTTGGAATTTAAATTTTATGAATGTTTTACTTGGATTTTGGCTTATTTAGCAACCGACTTATGAATTTGCTAAGGTAAAGGCTAAAGTATTATCCCATATGTATTTAAGAGAACTGATTCTAAGAAGCATTAATTAGGTCATGTAAGAGTTTTATACTCTGAAATAATTATATGATGCTGAAAATTGAGCCACATTTTAAAATCTTAGAACTTCTTCTTTCTTTTCAGAATATTCATATACTGCAATTCATCCACAGGAGCTTTTACCTTTTGACAATGGCAAAAGCAAACTTTGAAGGTGCTGAGTCTGTGGAGCCAGTGTCACCTTCATAGCCCAAAAGGCCATCCTATGTCCCTCTAGCAGAACTATGGTGCAAGATTGCTTTAAACATGAACCCTGAGTACAGCTGCATCACACATGTAGAGTTAGGGAGTGTCTGTTTTCATGTTTCAAGGTGGTGACGAAACGCTATCACCATACAGTCTACAATTTTAGAAGTCTAGAAATTTTTTTTTTTTTTTTTTTTGAGACAGAGTTTCGCTCTTGTTACCCAGGCTGGAGTGCAATGGCGCGATCTCAGCTCACCGCAACCTCCACCTCCTGGGTTCAGGCAATTCTCCTGCCTCAGCCTCCTGAGTCACTGGGATTACAGGCACATGCCACCATGCCCAGCTAATTTTTGTATTTTTAGTAGAGACGGGGTTTCACCATGTTGACCAGGATGGTCTAGAAATATTTTAAAGATGAGTTTTAAAGCAAATCATTTTGTCTTCCCCTCCAGTCCTGCTGGGATATTTTGTATGTACTGTTGTCAGTGGTGGTGGTTGTAGGTAGGACAAGAAAAATGGTTGGATTCAAAATATATATTATTTAAATTTGTTTGCAGGTCTTTATCAGTTTATGCTTATTCAGTAAGTTTGGATACTTCTGTTGGTATGACCCTAGTGCTCATTAAATGTATCTCTGAGTTCCTACTTAAGTGCAGTTGTATATATTGATATTTGATAAGACGAAATAGGAAATAACATAAAAACTCTTCTGATTATATTGTCCATACTGATTGTTCTGCAGGGATATATTCAAATCAGAGGTTAAGCAAGGCATCTCACACAGCCTATGGTTTACTAATATCTCCAGGTTCTTCTTCTGTAAACTCTAGTTGCATTTGTAGAGTGTTACTTTCCCCTCTTAAAAAAATCTATTTTGTACTTCTTTTTCCTACTCTTCATTCAGTTTCTGATAACTTTGTCAAATCATAAGACAGTTTCCTATCATCATCTTACTTTGTGAGGGCTGTGCTTTCTTCTTGTTAGGGTGCTGTCCACAAATCTGACAAGTGTGTCCACTTGTCCATTGTATAGGTTATTGATGAAGCAGTTTGGATTGTGCTCAGCTTGGTATCAACATCCAGGACTACTGGTTACTACTTCTTGTATAATCCTTTCTAGAGCTTGTACTATACAAGTTGGAAGAATAAGAGTTTGGAAATAAAATGCAATATCATCTTGACCTCTTCCTGAGGCAGGTGCATTTTCAATGGAGACTTCAAGGCAATTTGGTAGCAGTGCAGTTTTCAAAAATGGCACAATAGCCTTCTCTGTCCATTCATGCCTACTTTTTCTGAGATACTATTTGCTGAGAAATGTCATTAAGGTGTCAGAGGAGGTGTCTCTAGGAGAAATTAACCAGCACATAATCCATACCTGTGAAGATAAATAAGATTTAGAAGACTTCCTAGGGTCTTTTATTGTTGTCAAACTAGATAAAGTTTAGAAAAGTGTAGCATTGGGAAAATGATTGAATTCTGGCTAGAGATGAAAATACTGCAATTGAAAAATGTCCAGAACAACATGTACTTGGATCCATATTAAAGAAAAATTCTTTGAGTGTTTAAGCCAAATGATCCAGCAGAGTTGATAGTGTGAGGCATATTTCACAGTTGTATAAATATTTAAAACTATTTTCCAGCCTATAAAACAAGTAAATTGGGTGTTTTTTTTTCAAGTACAGTGAAATTAACATGTCCATCTCAACTTCTTGGGGAAACCTGCTCTACTCATCCCAACCTTTTCTTTTAGAAGGGAATCTCTGAGAAAGAAATGTGATGAAAGCTTCAAGTTGGAAAACAAAGTTGGTTTACATTTCAGGGAATTTCAGAAGGGATGATTAGCATCATGGTATACTGCCCCAGGTGGTCTATATCCAGAGGGCCTGTCTCGTTTTGGGCAGGCCTGACTAACTTGTCACCAGGGGCCAGATCCAGTGGACGCAATAGCTTTTCATATAATAAACTGCTTTGAACTTGGTGGAGGCTGGGCTTGGGGCTCCATCATATACATGAGATGCACAGACAGCAGTGCAGTAGGTTGACCTTGTTGTTCTCTATTCTGAGCTGCTGTCCTGTTAGAATGCCATCAATCCCGCCCTTCAGCCTCAGTGCTGGTTTGTAGGTGGTCCTTCTTCAGTCTTCTAAGGCTTCTTTTATTATGCTTTGTTGTTCTTGTCCTTTCCAGAGTTTAACATATTTTTCCTTTTACTTGCATTTTAGCCGTTGCTCTACCTTGCTGCTGTCTCCTTCACTTTTTTGCCTCCAGTTAAATAGACTTCTGAGGCAATGACAGTGATGTTTCTGTATTTGTTAATACAGAGTTTGAAAAGAATGTCGATGACTAAAATTTATTGATATTTCATAGCTGCTACATAAGGCTGGCACCATGAAGATGGTGGAAATAGTGCTCAGCCAAGAGTTAGGCATCTTGAGTTTAGCCCAGAAATACTACTAACTCACTGGGTATCTTTGAGAAATCACTTAACCTCTCTGGGCCTTTGTTCCCATGTTAATGTAAGGCCATTTTGAATTTACCATTCTAGGAAAGTCTTATCTTATACTTCTGTTACATGATGCTACATTGTGAATATATTCCCTTGGTTATACTTTTGATTCTTCTTCATTCTTTAGAAAAATTAATTTTCTTTTTGTTTTTAGACTACAGAATGAAAAATGGATGAATGTCAAAGTGGGAGACATCATTAAATTAGAAAATAACCAATTTGTTGCTGTGAGTATTCATTATTGTTTGAAGAATTTATATCAGTTTAAAGTAGCATATATATGGAAGTATTTACATTTGCAAATTTAGTAAATCTGTACTAACCCAGAATAATTAAAGAGGGACTATCATCAGAATGTATTAGTAAAAAGTCTCAATTATAAAATATTTTATAAGACATTGATTTATTAGTTCAGTAACATGGTAACTCACATAAGGTTGAGTGATTATCACCTTTCTCTTTCCCTAGGGATCTTTTAAATTAATAGGAACAAAAGATTTTACATTAGAAAGCCAATATTTGATATAAATAAGAGTTTTTAAAATGCTCCTGAGTACTTAAAAGTTTGTTCTCACATATTTTGTGATTAGTACTGTTAATATCCAGATTAGTATTGTTAATTTATAGTATATTTGAAGAAAACATAAGCTAGAGAAAAAAGGTATGTTTCTTCCTTAAAAATTAGAAAATGTGTATTGATTGTGCTAAATTAATACATGTTAATGCGATTTTATTTTGTATATCAAATATACAATAATTTATTTACTCAAGTGGCCTATGTTATAATTTCCTAAATAAAATTGAAGGGATCAGTCTAATCATGAAAATACATGTAACTAACTATAGTTCAAATTAAATTTAAGGTAACAAAAGCTTTTGAGATCAGATTAAAAATTCAAGTTATTGTATTATGTCAAGTATATATTAGATTAGATATAAAATTCTTTGTGTTGAGTGCTATCTTGTATATCAGGTTGAGACATTTTACCATAGGGGAAAAAAATATGGCCCAAGAGCTGTTTACAAGAACAACTCAGTTAAGACTCCTAAACGTTTACTTTTGGAAACAGTCTTCTTTAATTAATGCACCATTTGTGTATACTGAATTCTCCAGAACCACCCACATTAAGGAAACTGCTCAGTGGACAGGCCAATCACCAAGGAGTTCACACTTTAGGTAGAGAAGTGCTTATTTTTCTGGTAACCTTAATGCTTTGGAAAACATCTGGGAACCAATACTAAACAAAAAATGTCGACAGCCAAAACAGAGGTCTCAAAGTCCACTCTAATAGGGCTAAACTCCCTGTAAGTAGAACAGTTTGCCAGGTTCTCACTCACAATCTATTTACTTATATGTAAGCCACAACTTAAATTTGCTTGTCCAACTTATTTTGCAGCTCATTAAAGATTAGGAATAATACCCTGTTAGGTGGTGTCTGTTAGGACATACTCTGTACGTGGAATCAAGGTAGATCCAGTGTAAAGGCACTAGATGGGGAACTGGGTGAGAAATGAGGCTTTGCTTCATTCCTTCAGTGACAGGAAATACTTTATCTTCTTTGTCTTTGGTTTGTCCGTGTGTCAAATCAAGGTCTAGCACTATAGGATCTCAAAAATCCCTTCCATGCTGTGACTCTCTCTCTAAGCTGACACCAGACTGTAAGAATCTTGCAGGCAAAGCACATATTGATTTGCCTGTCCTCTAACACTTGGTGCCATATTCTATCATCAGGGGCATTCAGTAAATGTCGGCTGAACAAATAAGTGTTGATCTTTGTAAGAAAGAAGAGAGGAAAAAAAAAAAAGAAAAGTGGATATAAATTTACAAAAATTCAGGTGTCCTGGATCAATGGGATACCAGTAAAGGGTATCTGCCCTAATTAAAGATCATATATATTCAGCGTTCTTTGTCAAGGAAGAAATGGCTCCAGGAAACTCATTCAAATTCTACTCTCAATTAAAATGATTACAATGAAAGAGTTTTGGTTCTTTTAAGTGGAAAACCTTAACTTATAAAAAACAAAACAAAAAAAAGGACATGTAGACTTCTAAGATGTGTGCATTCAAATTTTTTTGGTAACTACTTTAGCCAGATTGGTGTCAGATTATAGAGGAATTAGCATAAACTGATATATACCACACACTTAATTATCATTTTATTTGGAAGTGAATATTTCAGGGGCAATGCTAGGTATGTTTCTACTTCAGGTATTCAGTAAAAACAATAAGTCTTAGGAGTCCCATGAACATGCTCTAATAAGGTTGAATATCAGACTGGACTCATTTGTTTACTAATACCATAGTATTATGGTAATAGTATTTATTATTTATTTATTATTTATTACCATTTTCCTTGGTTGTTTTTGATATAGTTATATTTTCTATATTATAGTATGTATACTTACTTTCTACTGCAAAATCTTCAGTGAAATGAGATACAGAAGGCAAGTACAAGTACAATCGAAGAGTGGAATTCTGAATTTTAATTAATTTAGATTTAAATAGCTACATGTGATTTGTGGCTACTGTATTAGACACACAGATGTGGCTTTTTATGGTGGTTCCCATGATGGGGTGAGAATGCTTATTTTCCACTCTTCCTCCTGTTTTCATTTGGAGGGAAAGCGCCAAAATAACACTCTAAGTGTCTTTCACCCACATGCTCACTCCTCTCTCCTAGGAGTGACTTCTCTGATGGGTGAGTTTGGCGGCTGGGAGGGTGCACATGACCTAGTGATGCTTCCTTACTTCTTGTTCTCTTTAAGCCACGCCTGTGTGCAGAGTCCATTCTGCTCTGCTCTTCCATGATATAAATTGTGCAGAAGCAAATTCCTGTAGTGGGGATAGTGGGAGAGCCAGGGCAACTTAGAACTTCCAGCATCTGTGGCTCAATGAATTTGTCTAAGAGGGATGAAGCCCATTCGGGCCACAGACCTAAAGCCTTGCCTTTATCAATAACAGCTTTATCAAAAAAAGATGATATTTTTATCTCCATTGTTCCCTGTTTGACTCTTACAATGGTGGTTTGTTGGTCTAATCTTTGGATATCTGAGGATAGGAGTCCTCCAAATCCCCCTCCCAGCACCTCTTGATTAGATAATTTTGTTCAAAGTTTTTCCATGTCTAGCTACTCAGCACCTACAAAACCATTTTCAAGAGCAAGAAAATATTTTTTTAGACGAACCGTTGGAATCACTTAGGAGTACTAATATACCCCCCTGCACTCTGGTATTAGCTGGCAGGGGCTTCAGGGAACTATATTCAGGGGGCAAAATTTATGGGCCCCTGAATGAGACCCACAGGAGTTATACTGAGGTAGATTTGGGGGAAACCAGGTCATGAAGATCATGAAAACAATTGCTAGCATTTATTGACCATGTGCCACATGCCAGACAATAAGCACTTTATGTGATTAACTAATTTAATCCTCACATTAGCCAGTAAAGGCAGGACATGAAGTATTCTTATTGCTCTCACTTTACAGATGAGAAAACAGAGACACAGTGCTGTCAAATAGCTTGCCAATGGGACATTCAGGTGTTAAGTCTATGCAATCTAGCTCAAGTGCCCCCACTTCTGACTCCATTGGAACAGTCATCCTCATCGACTTGAGTCTGGGCTACCAGAGTTAGGGGCTCTGGGCTTGGATGCTCGAAGTCAAGTGATCAGAAAGTGTGGTGCCTAATACAGATGCATAACTTCTAGCTGTTCAGTCTTAGAATTTGCAACCTGATTTATGTCAGTTCAGTAAACTTTAAGCAAGGAAAAAAAACTCACTAGAGATTGCCAATTAGCTGGCATATTCAGAAGTTACTCACCTTTGTTTTTTATGTAGGGAATTCCCTTGTTCTGTATTTGTATATAAATTTTAATTCAAGAATACTTTTGGGATGAATTGCCAGAGTTCCTAGTTTTTTTGGGGGACCAGGAAAAAATGCAGATTATAATTCAGATACCACAAGGAGATTCACTTGCATTAGAAGAACCAAATAAATTTTGTTAGAAAAACATGCTGCAGAGTTCCTGATACCACTAGAACTCAGACCGTGGGAGCCAAGCATACCTTTCCTCTTCACTTGACAGCAATGCGCTGGTGTCATTTCACTTTTCTTAGCTGGTGATAGAAATAAAGCCCTTACTGGGCATGAGCATATTTGGACATTAACTGAATTGAGTTGTTTAGCTTGTTTGAAAAGTCCTTCTTTTCCTTCCACAAAAAGGAATTTCATCGAATTGTTTTAAAACCAAGACATTCTTCTGATACAAAAATTGACCATTTTACCTTTCAGAGATGACAGGGTTAGAAAGATTAATTTGACCTAAACACTAGGCCTGACTGGGGTGGGCTTTTGCTCTTTCTTGACCCATCAGGGAATTTAATCTATTCTTTTTCAACACCTTTCTTGGACATTCTTCCAGAGAGGCATTTTTTTTTTTTTTGGAGTCTCATTGCCCTCGTTGCCATTTTGTTTTATAGCTTCAAGTAAAGTTGCTTGTTATTCAAACCTATTTGCTGTAAATAAGCCATCTCTATATCTGTATCCCTTTCTGTTTGTCTGTCTGTCTCCCTTCTCTCTGATATAGATCTAATGTCATATTTATATGACAGTAGAAAGTTGGGAATTTCCAGAGGAAGAAGATTTTAAAAAACACATTTAGCAAAGCTGTTTTGAAGAAGTTTCTTGCTAAAGTGTAGGGTGACAATATACTATTTTTGACATTAAAAAAAGTAAATGGTCAATTTTCTGTGTATAAGCAATTACCTATTAGTGGGAGTAAAATATGTAGGCAAGAATTTTTTTTTTAACTAGAGGAACAGCCTGCCTGTTAATAAGTTTTATGATGTCCATTATAATTCTCATCTTTCCTCCTCTTCCTTATCACCATATTTTTTTCTTATTCTTTTCAAATCACTGTAATTGAAAAATCAATGATATATCTAGTACATATTAGTGGATAATCGATATGCATTTATTGGACTTGAAATTTAAATTTTAAATACAAATTTACCTATAACCATACACACTTTCATTTTTAAGATCTCATTCTGATTTTGGACTCAATGCATTAGCTATTTTGGGTTTTTATTTTTATTTTTGGATTAAAATCAAGATAATGTTGTAGATGATAGAAAATATGAAGGACTTTATGTGTGAGAATGGCCTAAAAAATAAAAGGAGATCCGAAAGTGTTCAACTTAATTCTACAAATCTATCTTTCCATCAGGTCATAGATCTACAATCCAAATGCTCTTGCACATTGTAGTTTTGATTTTTGAATACCAACAAAACAAAGCTATAAAACAAAGTGAAACACTGTGTTTCTCATAGTTGCGTTCCAGTGATTTAGTAGCCCACCAGAGAAAAAGAGCATACATTTTGGGTTCAGAAGTTCTGCATTCTAGTTCCAGGTCTGCAATTTAAGCTATGTGTGTCCATGAGGATGATGTTAAGTCTCTTGGAGCCTTGGGTTCCTTAAAGATTTGGAAGGGTGATGGGATTTACATCAGTTAATTCAGCTCTTCTGGTGGGTATAATAGAATCTGTTCCTCCCTCACTGCTGGGCTAGATCCGACCTCCTCAGTTTTCTCATCCATACAATGGGAATAATATTACTCACTCACAGGGTTGTTAAGAGAGTAAAACGACACAATTCTGAGACAGGGTTTTATAAATCCTTCTAGAATTATATAGCTTTAAGGTGTTATCATTGCTTTACGTTTTACTTTATTCTTTAACTCAACAAACACTAGTTATGCCTAATAAGCCTATGAGGACAATGTCTTTGGCTCTGAGAACCCGAAGTTGTCCAGTGCATTCTTTTCAGGTTCCATTTGATGGGAATATTTGCTTTCTGTTGATCATGGAAGCTGGGGAAAGGGGTGTTGTGTTGGAAAACACCACTTCCTTCATGGAGGACATAGCAGAGCCTCTCCTGGCAGATCAAGGTTAAAAGACACTAATAATTCACAAAAGAAAGTAAAAATGGGACATATGATAGGTGGTTCTGATTGGAATTAATGATTTCCTTTCCCACCTTGAGTTTGGTTAGTCGTGCTTTTCCTTTCCTCTTTTTTACTCCTGTTAGTCATTCTGCCTAGGGGACCTCCTTTCACTGCATCTAGAATCTTCCATGATACTCTTCCTCATCTACCAACCCAATGTTGCAGACTCATTTGCACTCCTTTCATAGTGCTGTGTTAATGAGGCTCTTAGAACCCTTATATTCTGCCTTTATTAAACTATACAAATCCTTGGAGCAAAGAGGTTTTTACTCATTTTGACATCCCTTTCCGTAAATGCCTCATACTGCCTAGCTTCAAATCCTGGCACCTCCACTTACTGTGTGGCCTTGAGGAAGTTACTGAACTCCTCTGGGCCTTACTTTGCTCATCTGGAAAGCAGAGATAACAATAGGACCTGAGCTACAGGATTTCTGTGAACGTTAAAGAGAATGGTGCTGGACTCATAGTAAACCCTCACTAAATATTAGCTACATTATTTGGAATCATAAACACCTATACCTGGAATACAAGTTTCTGGATCAACTAGGAATTGAGTCCCTCTAGGATTTACTGGAAGGGTCAGCTTGAGGAGGCCTGCTCTGAGACTCAAGAGTCCTGGGGCAGGTGAGCCCCAAAATCCATGTGTTGTACTTCACTCCTGGGCCAGCACCTCTGGCAAAAGGGTGACAAGGGATGAGCAGGGCGTTTTCTGCAGCTCTCCTGCCCTTTCCTTTTCAGAATTATGATTGAGTGTACTAGAAAAGAGGCCTGCCTGCATGACGATGAGTGCATTGACTACTTATCCTCCTGGCTCTTCTGGTCTTTCCCTTCGCAATCCCTCCTCAACCACAATGAATTAAACAGCCTTGAAGATAGGAGGTTAACAAAAGGGAACAGCAGGACTCGGCAGAGGGGCAGGGAGAATGGAGGATAGATGGAGGGAGTGCAGAGGGCAATCAAGGAGTTGGAAAACAGGAGGAAGGTTCAGAGAGTATCAAAGAAAAAGGTGGTAGCTGGGCAGACGGGCGGAGGTGGGGAAGGTAGCTATCTCGGTCCTGGAGAGTAAAGAGAGCAGGAACAGTTAGCGTGGAATCCGTGGGGGTCAGCCTGTGGGAAGCTGGGTAACTGCTCAGGAGAGAATCTGGCCGCCAGATGGCATTGGCGCCTCAGTCACATCCGAGCCAGCTGTGTGCAGGGACTCCTCCCCTTGTTTACCACGGCGTGAGTGTCAGCGCCGCCCCGCCCAGTCTTCAACAGGAACACTGGATTCGAGTTTCGAAGAAGAGCAGCCCCGGGTACAAATAGGCATCTTTCTCTATACGTCATAACTACATTCAATCATAGATTCTTAGGATTAGAGAATTTTGGACTTTGTTTAAAATGAGCCTTTTAAGCTCAGCAGTGGAGAGGTACAGGCCCACAGACTGATTAAGCTCTATTGCTGTAGTACCTTATGCCTGCTTTTATGCTCTGAAATTTAAATGTGGGAAATAAGATGAAGGTGAATTTTTTAAAAACTTTTTTTTGCCTTATAAAATCAGAATGGGTACTTTTTGGTTCAAGAGCGGCATTATGTTCTTTATGTGCCTTTGCTCTGTTCACAGTGTGACTAGTCAGAAAATTTCTGCCTCAACAAGCATCTGTGGCTCCTACATTCAGAGTTGTGTAAGAGCCTTGGTAATGGAAACCCATTTATTCCTTTAAGGGCTGTCATAGGGTTTTTTTTCCTAAGCTCTGTTTTATCCCCATTTAGAGAAAACCGCGCACGCGTGCGCGCGCGCGCACGCACACACACACACACACACACACACACACACACACACACCCTATTTTTGAGTTGCAAATTTAAAAGCTTGAGACAATCAAGAAGGTAAATCAATTCTAAATTTAACCCCAAGACCAAGAACAAGACAATTCTAATGTTTATAAAAACAAAGGTAAGAAAATTTCACAGATTTGGAATGCCAATCATACATTCAGACCTAGGTAGAAAATTGTTAGGCTAATGCCTGAAACTAAATTGGTAAAATTTAAGCCAATTCTTTTTAGACGTTCAGACTCTTCAAAATTTTATAAAAGCACTTACTTTTAAAGTAAGTTTAGAAGTTTGAAATAAAATAGATAAGCAGTTTCCCCATTTAGGGGGTAACCAGGATTCTAAAACTGAATTGTGATAGGTGATTTGCAAAGCTCAGTTGGATGTCAGAATAGAACTGTTTATCTCTGAAAAACCCAAACTACTCAGCCTCTGATTTTTTTTCTCACTGCCTTTAACTGCATTTTTTCTTCTGTCTTGCTCTTTTCCTTAGCCCTTGCTTTATCCTAGCTTTCCTCTTTCTTACTCCCCATCATCTTTTTTTCTTTCAACGTTTCTCTCTTTCTTAACTTCCTTGCCTCTTCTCATTTTTATTTTATTTTTTTTAGTTTCCTCCATCTATTTCCCTTCTGTCCTTTCCCCATCTCCTTTGCCTGCTCCCTGCTCTTAACTGTTGTTACTAGGTAATTAAAGTTTGTGCATGTATTTCCAATTATTTATTGGAGAGAGTTTTATGTTAATAATTATCAAAGTAAGAAAATAGAATTTATATATTTCATTTAAAAAAAGTGAATCAAGTAGCTATTAATTCACATGACATCTCCTTTCCTTGCTTATATTGTGATAGTCAAGGGACATATAAAGAGGAAAAGGGAAAAGGGGGGGTTGATTCAGGGCATATGACAAAGAGGTATAACAGGATCTCACTTCTTTTACTGTGTTTCTAAGGCTCTGTTGGCTCATTAGTAGTCAAGAGGTGATATACTGTAAAAGACTTTCCACCCATCTTCCCTTCTCAAGCATTCTTTTGTTATGATTTTTGAAAATAGGCTGATTTACTTCTCCTATCAAGTAGTGAACCACATGGTCTCTGTTATGTTGAAACTGCTGAGCTTGATGGGTAAGTTATTAAAAATGGAATAATTCAATTGGTTTTTAATTTATTTAAAAGTAATGTCTTTAGAAATAAGACTTAAACCTTGTTCATTATCTTCTTGGGAGACATAGGAGTTTAAATTGCAAAGTCCATAATTAATTACTCTGCAGTAATTTTGAAACTGTCTTTTCTCTTAAATTTATTTTCTTTCAGAAACAGTGAGATAAACATATATATAGGAATAACTTTACACAGAGAATCTTCAGTGAAATTCCTTAGATGGTTTTTAAAAACAGTTTTTGCTTGTTTGATTTCAAATGAGAAGTTTAGAGATCAAGAGTCCCTGAGGACTGATGTTACTTTAAAAGGCAACCTTTTGGAACTGTGTCAAATGAAGACATAGAAAAAGACGAGAGAAACAATATGATGCAGTTTTGATGTTGATATTAATGTAGAATTTATAGACCATATAGCAGTTCTGTTTCAGAGGATTTGTCTGTTGGCATAAAAACATTGATTGAATGCTCACATTTTAATGACACTATGTATTTGTGTTCTTTGGATGGAATTTATCATTTAATCCTGATACAGGAACCATGTAAGCCCTATTGTATAGACAATGAAATCAAGACTCAGAGAGCCTAGGTAATTTGCCCAAAACATCTGACAAGTGAAGCCAGGACTGGAACTTGGCTGTCTGACACCAGAGTCCATGGTTTTAACTGATACCTTCCAAATTATTGCCACATTGAGCTATTTGAATAGTGCTTTAGTCTGTGGGACTCTATCCTGGTTTGGGCAGAGCAGTTTAGACACGACTAAAACAGTTTTGTGAGAAGCATTTATGGCATACATTTGAAAAGAGAAAAATTCTCAAATCAATAATCTAATCTTTCATTTCAAGAATCTAGAAAACAGCAAAATAAACCCAAAAGAAGCAGAAGGAAGGAGATAATAAAGATGAGAGCAGAAATTGACTTGAAAAAAAATAAAGAAAATCAACGACACAGAGCTAGTTATTTGCAAACATCAGTACAAGTGACAAACCTCTAGGAATATTGATAAAGAAAAAAAAGAGAAAACGCAGATTAGCAAATTAGCAACATTATGCATGAACAATGGGAATTTGGTATAGATCCTGAACATGTTATAAAGGTAAAATAGAAATACTACTAACAACTGTGCACACATAAATTTGACAACTTAGAAGAAGTGGACCACTTTCTCAAAAAACCAGAAACTATACATTTAATATGAAATTGTGGATAGCTCAGTAAGTATTACGGAAATTGATTTCAAATATAAAGTATAAAAAGCTTTGAGAAAAAAATAGGGAGAAATCTTTGAAATCTAGGGCTGGCTAGTCAGATTCTTAGACTTGACACAAAAAACATAATTCATAAAAGGAAACTGTAATAAACTGAACTTCATAAAATTAAAAATTTTTGTTCCACATAAATGCCTGTTAGGAGGACTTAAAAATAAGTTACAGACTGGAAGAAATTATTTGGAAACATCTGTTTAAACAGGGACTTTTATCTTGAATATATTTTTTTAAAAAACCTCTTAAAACTCAATAGTAAAAAAACAAACCATCCAATTTGAAAATGGGCAAATGATATAAAGAGACATTTCAACAAAGAGGACATACAAATGGGAAATAAGTACATGAAAAGATGCTGAACTTCATTAACGACTAGGGAAATACAAATTAAAACTACACTGATATCTCACTACAGACCTATCAGAATGGCCAATGTAAAAAGTGACAATTCCAAGTGCTAGCAAGGAAGCAGGGAAAGAGGATCACTCATATGTCTTGGGTGGGAATGTAAAATGCTACAATCACTCTGGAAAATGGTTTTCTAGTTTCTTAAAAACTGAACATGCAGCTAACATAAAACCCAACAATTTCACCCCTAGGAATTTATCCCAGAGAAATGAAGACATGTTTGTACAAAAACCTGTATGTGACTGTTTATAGTGGCTTTATTCATAACACCCCAAAACTAGAAACCACTTGAATATCCTTCAATAAGTCAATGGTTGAATAAAGTGTTGTACATCCATACCATGGAATACTGCTTAGCAATAAAAATGAGCGAACTACTGATACATGTAGCACTCTGGATGAATCTTCAGAGAATTACACTGACTGAAAACAGCCAATCCCAAAGGTCACATACAGTCTAACTCTATAAAATTTTGCCTTTTGAAAAGGCAAAATTATGGAAATAGAGAACAGATTAGTAGTTGCCAGGTGTTAAGATGGGTGGGAAAGGCAAGGAGGTGGATATGGCTGCGGAGTACAACCTGAGGGATCCCGTGGTAATAGAAATGTTCTGTATCTTAACTATTTCAATATCAATATTTTGGTTGTGATATTATGCTATAGTTTTGCAAGATGTGAAACTAGTAAGATGCAATTCTGATCAAGGGGTGTTCAGTATCTCTTGGTATTATTTCTTATGCCGAAAATCACTTTGAAGCTTATAAAGATACTCAGGCAGATTAAGGAAGAGTGGGGAATGAAACTGAAGGCATTAATCAAGAGTCTTGAAAAATACTTTTTAGAGGTATCGACAAGGCCTATGTGTGATTATTCTTCCCCCCCCCTCTTTTTTTTTTCATATTTGAAGGTAGAAGTGAGATAGTGGAGAGGATCCTGAGGAAGTAACTCAAAATGATGATAAACTTTGATGAATGACATAATGTAGATGAGGGCTAAAGAACTATGGCTATCTGGCTTTTTTGGTGTGACTATTTCAGTTATTTGAACAGTTTTTTAAGTGGATGGACATATTGGCCCTTTAGCCTCTATAACACTTACCTCAATCTTGTCTGTCAAGCCCAGCTCAATTTCTTCTTCATCTGTGAAGTTCTTGACTATCTCAATTCCTGTTCATCTCTGCTCCTAGGAATCAGCAGATTTTTGATTAGTAAGATTACTTTTAAACAAACTAGCTTCAGTTATACATCCAACTTAGTCTTTCCTGAAGAAAGCTATTTTAGCAATGGATATTCTTTGAGTTGGACTCACATTGTCCTACATCATTGTGAAACTCATTTGTGGAAGGTTAAGATTGGATGCCTTCTCAGGTACCCTCTCTTTGGCTCTCTAAAATGAGTTATTTAATGGGTTTGCACAAAATTCCACACAGTGATATTTGCTTTTTTACCTACCACTGGTTTCACCCAAGAGGATAGTCATCCTTTTGGGACAGCAATGAGTATTTTGGGTGACTAAGGTATGTATTTAATATTTGTTGAGTGAATGAACATACCACTAAACATTTCCATAAAAGATAGAGCTCTGATAACTGATCTTAAGCTACAGTAGAAGAAAATTAGGTTGAATTCAGTGAGAAAACTGGGATGGCAAGCCCTTAAACACAAGATGTAAGTGATGCCTGTAGAATCTTAACTGCTGGCATTTATGAATATTAGAGAGCCATCTGTCCAATGTATGTGTGGTTCCACCTATAAGAAGATGCCCAACTCATATGACTTGCTGAGGTTGTTCGAATTGTCTATTTTAGACTTATGGGTTTCTTGGATTGATTCTCCAAGAAAAAGAAAGCTGTATTCCTTTTCCCATTTAAATTTTAGCTACTATGAGATTTTCCATGACCATCTTTTGCAAGTAAAACTTCTGTCCAGATAATAGACTCTGGAGTGATATTAGCCTCCTTTAGTTGGCAATTGTGTTCTTATTCCCAATGTGTTTTGTAACTCATGCATGATGTCTTAGTAGGTTCAAATGAAACCATATTTATTATGTCTTCTGTTCTTTCAAACTGAAAAACAGTTCAGTGTGTTGTTATAAAGATGTGCCATGGGTAGAATGCCAATGCTTAGGAGCCCAAGAAGCCCTACCCACTTTCCTGAAACAGTGTGCAAAGTGTGAATGACATTTAAAGGGGGGTTTCTTGGATCTCAGGTTTGGCTTTGTATGTGCTGCACCCACCTAGTTGCTTTGGTAGGATGCTGTTGGGCTGTTCTGTATAAAAATTCATGTCATGTCAATAATTTTCACAGGGAAACGAACCTAAAAGTCCGTCAGGCACTATCAGTTACTTCAGAACTTGGAGCAGATATTAGCAGACTTGCAAGGTTTGATGGTAAGTGTCTTAGAAAGATAAACAAAAGGCTCAAAACCAAAAAGCAATGTAACAAACTAATTATCTGAGATCCAATTTATGTTTCTTTTTATTTGGTGGAAGGACATAAAATTCTCCAGGCAACAAAGCCTGTAATTTCTTCTCACACTGAAAAGAGTAAAAATGTTTGCCAAGGGGAGAATGGCTTTATCAGTTCATCATTCATTTCATGCTTGTTTTCTTTTTGGATATCATTTCCTTCAATCCCATAATGCCCTTTACTTGCCTGATGTTGGCCTTCCTGGAGCCATATACAGACTTGCTGAGGAGGAATATTGCCCATCCTTTTATTTCTAGCTCTAGGTCTAAACACCCGTTGATTTTCTGTCTCCATAACAAAGACTAACTACCAGACCTCAAACTTCATGAAGACAGTCATCCTGCGTCATATATGTCTGTACCTTGCATGGTGCTTGGCATATGTCTTGAAGATATTAGGTGTTCAAGAAGAATATTCTGATTGATTAATCAGTTGTTCATCTGTTGCCTTTGATTTCAGACCATGATTTTACTATCTCTGTCTTCCTACTATTCAGCTGGTCCCTTGATCTTTAATCTCTCTTGCCTCTCCTTTTCTACCTATGTCTTGTTCTATTCTGTTAATCTTATATATTTATGGAATGACCTCCAGATGTTGTCCGTTCTAGGGATAGCTGTGTTTATGATTAAGACACCACAGAGAAACACCATACTTTAAGAGAAAGGGAAGAGACACTGATTATAGGATTTTAGGCACCATGATAGGCTGCAGAGAGAATCTTTGGAGTCTTTCTTTAATTCCTTAATGGTCTCTTTCTTTGCCTACTCGTCAGTCTGACCCCGAATATTAGTTTATCCATTCAGATTGGCTTTATTTACTCATGAATTTTCATGAGTTGAGACAGTCTTTTAAAATGTGTTTTTGGGGTATCCACTTAGGAAAACATGGACAAGAATCTTAGCATAATCACATGAGTTAAAGCACAGGAAAGTTTATATTGTAAAGTTTCTCCATTGCAGAGCTTAGAGCTTACATTGCCTGTGCTTTGCATTTGCTTGTAAAGTCTGTCTGGATTCTGTTAATATTTTAATTTTTCTTAAATGAGTGCTTTTATAATAGATGTTTATAGAAAAAAAATTCCTCCAAATGGAGAATTAAGTCAGGGAAGTAGCCAGGAAACTGAATGGTCCAAGAAATATTTTGCTTAGAATAAAACAAATTACACATTTTCTACTAAGAAATTTTTTCAATGAAATTTTACTGTTATGTGAATCAAAGAGAAGTAAATTGTGTTCATGAATTAAAATACTTGCTTAAAATACCTCATTGAATATTTATGGAGTCCTAAAAGGGTCAGCTAAATATAATTTATTATTACTTATTTCTTTCCTGGCAGAATTGTACTTTTATACCTCTATCAATTTATGAGGAGGTAGAAATTCATGATTTTTAGTGTTGTTAACCATCAAAAAGCAGAACTTGATTGTTACAATTATTTAGGTCCCATTCTTCCCTAGATGTTTGCCCAGATGGGCTACACTGTGATGCAGTTAAAATAAACCCTGCCATCTTAGTGGCATAAACACAGTAAAGATTTATTCTTGCTCATGTCACATTCTGAGTGAGTTGGGTGGCCTTTTTCATCATGGAACCACAGTATCTAAACTAATGGCATCTGAGGTCACTGCATCAGGCTAAGAGTAAGATGAAAGAGTCTCAATGGCTTTTAAATTCTTCTTCCTTTCATAGTTCATTGGCTAACAATGTCACCTGGCCCTGACTTAACTGCAAGGGAGGCTAGGAAATAACAAATACGAATACTTGTTAGCATTAACTGTCTCTACCACACCCTCCAAGAATTGTGGCCATGTAAGGCGATGTCAGGATAATGCATAAGGAGCCAGGCTGGATTAGGTGGCTTTCTTACATGGAATGGCAGGACTGGGGCTAAGTATCCCTCTTCAGCATGACTCCTTACACTCTCAATCCACCATACTCTGCTTGGCTTCTTCTTCTTCTAGCACTTAGCACTATTTAGTACATGGACAATTCATTTATTTTTAAAGTTATTTATTGTCCATCTTTATCTGCTTCAGTGTAATCTACACAAGGATCTTTGCTTTATTCACTGATGTATGCCAAGCTCCTAGAACAACATCTAGCACATAGTAGGTACTCAGTAAATCTCTGGTGAATGAATAAATAGTCACAAGTTCCAGTGGAGGGCAGAGACGAAGACCAGCATCAGGCTGCAGAAAAGCATGGGAGGGCAAAGGAAAGGCCTGACGTAAAGAGATTGGAAAGGGAGTGTGAAACTGTGGGGTGAAGAGGAAGCTTAAGCTTCCTGAGGTGGCTTTGTAGGACCAATAAGGAGTGCTGGATCCTCTCCTCCTGGAAGGCAGGCGTCTGGGAGATGGACCATCTGTCATGGTGGTTTTAGAATGTCTTGACTTCAGATCCTTTCTGAACTAAGAAAATGGAACAAAGTAGCTCCAGATTTAAACCAATACAAGTGGTACTGCTCAGGCTGAAATCACTTCCTCCCCTAAGATTTTACAGATGAGGTAACAGGTCTTGAGAAGTTAAAGGACTTGCTTATATATAAAAATAGCCATTTAAAAATACTTCATAAAATTTACTTTTAAGATGTGTTAATAATTATTACTTACTAGATATGACTTCAGTTTGCTTCATACAGAATAGGCAACTCATCAAATCCCCAATGAATTATTGTTTTCCCAAATAAAGGCAGCACAGAACTCCCTTTTTTATGATTATATATACTTAAACTGTGGTCAGCTTTTCAGAAAACATGTAATGCCAAGTTCATGAGTCTGCTACACTTCTGGGCTAAAATCCAGCTTCTGTTAAGTTTACTTTTTCATTTTAAAATCTTTGGTTGCATTTCAATCTACCTTAAAGTTCAAGGCAACGGGGTGTTTTGTGAGTTTATCCTAATAAATAGAAATATAATTTCCTGTTTCTAAGAAAGCATCAGAAGAATGAATAGATGAATTAAGGGAAAATAAATTAGAAACAATATACAAATTAGATTCCCTCCTAGTTAGCAGCCAAATTTAAAGACCAAAAGGATGATTCAAGATGTGGTATGGAAGTCTTTGAAAGAATTTGTACAGTTAATAAACCCTAAATCTTTCCCTTGATTGCTTTTGCTTTCCTGTGGCCTTCAATTTTTTTCTCCATCTGCTTCTTTCCAAGCCCTAATTTACACATTTCAGTTTTAATATCTTTGTTTCACACACAGACACACACTCTCGCACATTAGCCTCTATCTGCACATGGTTTTCTAACTACTCCTTTTCACCATTCTTCTCTTTCCTTTCTGTAGTCTTTCTTACTGTTCTCATCTCACCTTCCTCCTTCACTTTTTATGTTATTTTCTTCACCTGCAGTGTCTCTTTTCTGTCATTCTTTATCTTTGATTTCATCACTCTCTCCTTATTAATTAAAGCCTGTTTATTAAGCACCTCCTAAGTACAAGATGGAAAACAAAGTTTGTAGAATTATAAATTCTCTCTCCATATATTATCAGAATTCTTTTGATCCTTTGCTCCATGTTCTTTTTCTACTCCCTCTTTTGTGTCTTCTTTATTCACCTTTGTCCTAATGAAATATCAGTAGATTTCAGGTTTTCCTCTGGTGATGTGAAAAAGACTTTCTTGCCTCATGGGAATCAAAACCAGATATTGTATCCTTTAGTTTAAATTAAAATAGCATTGTGTATGTTTGGAAATGCCATGGCTAGTTTTGGCAAGGTATAATCAATGAGGCAGATATGTGAGGGACACTCTTTACCATGTTCTATTTGTGCTAAGTATATGTTTTGATTTGTGACTTCTGGGTAAATCTGGATATGGCATTATTTTTTGCTTCTAGTTACTGTGTGGTTTTTCCTCTGAGACTTGCCAAAATACTTTCTCTAGCACCAAATTACAGTTTTCTGTCCTTGAATAACAAAAGCACATCCTCCAAGTATCTAAATACCTGAATATCCCACTCATGTCCCCAGAGAAGTTCCCACTGGGGTTTCCAAGTTTTGGACACATAGAGTCAGAACTGAGTTGGGTTGAAACCTCAGGATGTCTCTGAAGAGTCTCTTTGTCTCCTCACTTTTGGATCTATATTGAAAGATAGTGTCTTTCTGGTGGGCTTATTTCTTTCACGTATTCACCCATTCATTCATTCAGCAAATGTATATTTAACGCAAGGCCAAGGGATTTGTTAAACCTGGGATACAGTGGTTAATAAGTCAGACTCAGTCCATGCTTCTGTAGAGCTTATTTCCCAGGGGAGAAGACAGACTTGAGAGGGCTTATTCCTAAAGAAGCCTTTGATAAGGTAAAGGTCCTAAAGTTCTCAGGCCCTAAACACAATGTTGTTATGTGAGCAAGAACTCACTGTGTACCCAGGCACTGTGCTGAGTAATTTCACACATTATCTTATTAAACCCTTACAGCTCTTGAAGGAAGAGATTATTGTTAATTTAATTTATGGATAAAGAACCTGAGACCCAGGTAAACTGATTAACTTTCTTAAGGTCATATTGCTGTTAAGTGGAGAAGCCAGAATATAAACCCTGGACTTCTGGCAAAGCCTATTTTACAAAGGACAAAAAACCCAGGTTGTAAACTAAAGTAGAAAGAGAGCATTGGAGAGTTAGGGAAAATTAGCACAAGAGCTTAGCTCCTGATTAGGGTAATAAATAAAATTTTAAAATATTCTAAACCTAAAGGTGCAAAATTAGTTACAAAAGATAAAGTCCATCCAGGACAAGGATGAGGTCATCATATTTTTTTAAAAAAGCAATGATCTCAGTGATTTTGAATGTCAGGATCCCTGATGAGAGTTTATAGAAGACTTGGCCAAGTGTAGAGACCAGTGCACACAAGATAGTTGGGTTTTGGCAGGTAAATCCATTTATTTGAAAAGTTCTCATACAAATATTTTTATACAGTTCAAACATCAGAAAAAATGATTTATAGTCTTTCCAATTTTGTAAGAAAAGATACATAACTTGATCTAATATTATAGATCAAATATAAAAAGAGATTGAGTGGGGCTTGATTTTCATGTTAAAATCTTATGGGAATTGAAAAGCCTTTGTAAACAAGTAATTGAAATACTTGTCAATTATTATTATGTAAACTGGACATTCTTATTCCTTGGGGAAAGCCCCGGATGTAAATTGTCCCAATGTGTTTAAGAATCTTTTGCATATTGTTACTGACTGAACTGAGATCTGTTTTCTGCAACTCATGACAAGTTTACATATTTTGTATGACTGTTAATGCTGAATTCTGAACGAGGGAAAGGTTGACTTTTTATTCAGGAATCCTTGTGTATTTTGTGGTTCTTTCTAAAGAATAGCATGTGCGTAATTAAAACATAGAAAAATAAGCATCTCTTTTTGGTTAAAAAAAAAAATAAAATAGCTTGGTTAGCATCTTGTGAGTCTTTTTACTTACCAGATAGTTTTCCCATTCACCTGGGCAGGAGCACAGCCCAACAGCACAGCTGATATGAGGCATAGATTAACTATAGAAAGTGTGAAGAATAACTTCCCTCTTTACTGCTGGTGCCGACATGGTCATTATGGTGGTAATGATGGATGGGTGAGCACTGGTGGTTGAAGAATAAAGAAGCTTTAGAAAATAGGAAGGTGACACTCTTCTTTCTAAGACAAAAATAAATATTTGTCACAATCATTAGGGCAAACAGTAGTGGGCAATGTCTAAAACGCTAAGAAACTCTTGGCTAGAGAAATTCTTGAACAGAAATATTGATGTTTTATTTGTTAGATAATTTGTCTTATGGAAGAGTTGAAGTACAGATAATCAAGAACTATTTCTATTAGTAATATACATAAAGAGATGAAGCCAGCTTCTCTGGAAAATCATGGAGTATCCAGCACTGAGTTCCATTTTTATGATAAACTGCAGACTTTCACTTTGAGGTAAATACTTAGCTTGAGAAGTCTGGCAAGTTGCTGATTAACCAACCATCCAGCTGACTAAATATAGAATGCTTAGGAAGGTCCAGATTGAGATCTTGTAGATTTTGTCAGTATGGGTCTAGAGCATATCTGTGTGATTGTAAAATAGAAAAATTGCAATCTGCTTTCATGTCTTCTCTTCAGAGGGTCAAACAGATATGACTAGCTAGTTTGGTTGTATTTACACTTCATTATTGACATGACTTTTTTTTCAGATTTATTATTGCCCATTAAAGATGACTTTTTGTTCCAGTCATATATTTAATAAATGACTATGAGAAATGATATGATTTTTCCTAAACTGTTTCCTCATTGATTGTCAAGCTGATCATTTTCTGCCTCTTTGTCTTCTCTGATTGAACTAGAGAAAGGAAAAAGGGTCCTAAGAGAGTTTTCCCCTCATCCTTGTTATGCTTCATGGCTAGGATTTCTTTTTGGTTGCTTCTAATGCACTTTAATGCTATCACCTGTTTTCAGTACTGTCAGATATACTTGGCTCCAGTCAGATTTAGGCCAAACTAAGCCCCCTAGTTGTTCCTGGGCTATTTAGTTTTCCAGTCCTTCCTACTATCATGGAAATACACCCACTTTTTCCATTTTTCTTAGATATGCTCTAATATCCATCTCATCCCCCAACCTCTCTCTTGAAATCAACTGAAATTTTTTCTATCTATCTCTTCAACAAAGATCCTGTTATGTAGTTAGTGTAATAGGTTATAGGAATGCAGAGGTGAATACAGTGCTCCCTTCAAAGAAGCTCGTTCATCCCTTTTGGAAAGTGGTACAACAGAAAGTGGGAAGCATGTGTTTTATGCTAATAGGGCTTAAAAAGGGGAAGCTGAGCACTTCTGATGATAAAAACAAACGTAGTTTGGCTTTATTCCCACCATTTTGTTTTGACTGGGCTCTGTATTTACAACTTGCATCACCAGGACCACACTCTTTGAGAAAGACTGAACTGGGGCTTAGCCTCCAATAACCCGGGCAGAACCCCTTGGGCTTACTGCCTGTTCCTGTCTAGAACCACACCCTTGTTGTGAGGCCAGGGAGGAGCGAGCCAACATGTTTAAGGCTGTATTTGCTTCCATGTCAGTCTTTTCTTATGACAATAGAAATGATCAAATGAACCTGTTTTTTATATTCCTGTTGGCAGGGATTTCGTATCATGTTGTTTTTGCCCAAAGCACATTTTTTTTTTTTTTTTTTTTTTTTTTAGTGGCTAAGTTTGAAGCCTGAGAAATTGAGTCTTGGGTCAGGAATCTGTAATAAAGTTTAAGCATTGCTGTCAACCTGTTATTTTATGTAGATTTCACTGGTGATAGCCAAGTCAAGATTTTACTATTCAGAGTGAAAATTATTGATGAAGAAAAAAAAGATATGAATTCAGGAATTTAGAAAAGGTCTCCTCATCTACAATGTAGTTGTCCAAACAAGCAGAGCCAATTTAAATCAGTTTTAATTTACTTTTTACTGTCAGTGATAGGCTATAATGGAGCTAACCAGAATTCTGCTCCTTCCCTTGGCAAGGTTATTTGTCTTATCCAAATCCTCCTGCCAGCAGTCTTTATTTAGCAGTGGGAAATAGGGATGTCTGGGAAACTGCTAGTGAGTGCCTTAAGTGGGGAGGCTTTAGGCAAAACTTTTGTTATATTGGGGAGAGACAGGTGGATGTTGGAAAAGCAGTCCTGAGGCCATGAATCCCTCAGGATTCATGTAAACTGTAAAAAATTTCACAGTTTTATTTGCTTTTGCTTTTTTAATGCAAAGTCGGTTTGTGATCTGGTTGGTCAAGAGTGACTGACCACGTGGCAACTGGCTGCTATTACCTCGGTCTAAGAGTTTTAAAGGGAGCATCCTAGGGAGAAAGGAGACCCACATAAGAAGCCTCTTTCGTTCAGAAGGCAGCTTGGAGGCAGGGTGGAGTCAGTATAATATAGAGGATATTTAGTCTTAAGTCGTCCCCTTTCTCTTTAATCAATGCTAAAGATACAGTCTTTTTATTTTCCAAATGCTACGTTTTATGTTCCAACTTGTCCTTTTGACTTCTGATTAAATGTAAATGTATTTTTTCTTTGTTTTTGAGAGTGAGAACCTCACCTCCGACTCTGGTTCGAACCCTGATGGATCTACCCACAGTTTCCTTTTTCATACCTCCCCTCTCTTTTCCTTCCTCCCTCTGTCCCTCTCTCCTTCTGTTCTGTCCTTTCGTGTCTTTGTACTTATGTATAAAAATTTAACTTGACCTGTTTGCAGTGAATATGTATACTAATCTAATAGTTATGTTTTGTGACAGGGTCTGTGAAAGATTATTTCTGGTTTCTTTTTCTATCTAGAGAACCCCCATCCTGAATGTATATTTTCATATTGAAATAATGGAACAAATTGATTTGTTGATTTGGAATGGGCGTGGCCTTGGTTTGGAATGGGTTTGGAATTAAAGAAACTAGAACCATCTTCTGGTTAGTTAGGGGCAAGTTATATGGTGCCTTTGAGAGTCCCCCAGAACTCTGAATCTAATCAAGATAAGAAGCATAGAACAGCTGAAAGGAATCACACGCATTCTCAGACACATGTGGCAAATGAGGCACAGGTTTCTCTCTGGCGGAATACAGTAGGACCCCTGAAATCCTGATTATGAGCTTAGAAAGATGGTTAACTTTTGTTGTGAGACTGGAAGTATGCTATTTGAAACTGTGTAAAAGTTCACATTTAGCTCAAAGAGATGGAGTAAGAGAAATTTTTCGGACAGTCACTGCTTTATCTTTTCAAGAATTATTTGTTATAAACTAGAAGTAAAGTCTTTTTTTTTAAAGGAAAAAATATCCCATGGATTCTAAGATTTCTGTTGTTGCTGTTTTTTTTTCTATTTTTATTTGGACAATACAAAAGCTATGTTTCAAAATAGTTGATGGCTTTCCATTTTTCTACCAGCTTATTTTTTCTAGCACAGTTCTGTATATGTAACCTCATGCTGTCTAAAGGAGAAGGAATCTGTGGTTTTAAACAGCGCTGTGGGCTTCTGAAAATAATTCTGGGTGAGATGTAAAGTGTTCTTTTTTAATATGTATATTTTGTAGGGATTGTTGTCTGTGAGGCACCTAACAACAAGTTAGATAAATTCATGGGAATCCTCTCTTGGAAAGACAGCAAGCACCCCCTCAACAATGAGAAGATAATCCTGAGAGGCTGCATCCTGAGAAATACCAGCTGGTGTTTTGGAATGGTCATTTTTGCAGGTACAGCACATGACCCAGGGCCAGATCTATGGGAACTTTTCCTGCAATGTACACAAGCACAGTCTACGATTCTCGACGTTCTGATGAACACAGTGCTTTCATTTCACGCAAAGTAGTGCTCTGGAGCTGACTTCAGAGTTGACTTCTGGAGCTGACTTCACCAGGGGAAAACACCATTGCCCTGAAAAGAGTCCAGGTGGCCCCACTGTATGAGGAACTTCTGATGTCTTGATGTTATTCTTAAGGATGCTGGAGCTTTAATTAGACAGTGGGTGCTATAAATTAAGCTACTGCTTAATTTCTCTTTATTAACCCCATCTTAATCATCTTTGTCATTTTATCTATTAATCAATCTGCCTTTATGGTGAGTAAGAGTATGAAAGAAAGTCCCTGGCTGTGCTATTAATTTTGTACTTTGTAATCAGTGGTCAAGCAGACCTTTTGGAAAAGACTTCTTGATCTTGTAATCATTTCTGTTTATACCCCATAGCTTTTTCCACTGTTTGTAAATAGGAGAGTGGGTTCTGGAAAGACTGTGCATGATGTGGGGGGGATGGGGGTGGGAGGAGGTGTCTCTTACTCTTCTTGCCCACTGTATTTCTTTTCTCTGCTTTATTTCTGTGGCCCCCAGGTGGCCCCCTCTTGCTAAGGAAGCTTACAGTAGCACCTTTCATAAAGCTACTCAAATTGTGCTCATGGCTTCAATTGCCAGCCCTTGATTTTAAAAGTCCTGTTTATTGTGACACCAAATTAATATGTGTTTTGGGCATGTTGACCATGTGCAATCAAAATGGGAATGTTTTTCTTAACTGACCTTCCTCAACAACAACAAAATGTTCATTAAGTACTCAAAAGTGTTCCAAACCTGGAAACGTTCTCCCAACTCCTCTAAATACTGTCAGCTGTCAGTGTTAGCAGTGCTCTTGCTGCTTGGGGCATTGCCATTGTAAAGACTTGAGAAATCCCTAGAAATGAGGCAGCATATGTACTTTTATGTTTTAGTCAGGGAAATAAACATATGATCATATGTTTCCTTATTTGCATCTTCCTTACACAGAGAAAAAGAAAGCTACTTTTTGTATGCTTGTCCATGAACGTTCCTTTATCTTCCTGCTTGAAGATGAGGAAATTTCTTGGTCTTTTGATGGGAAATACTCTCCTGATTCGCTTCTTGTCATCATAGAGATGGAAGTGCTTCATCCTTTGGATGGGTCATCCTTTGGATGGGATATAGTCCCAGATTTTGCATTTCAGGGATCTTGTTTGGAATGGCTAATTCAGGACTCTAGTTCAGCTGTAACGTTTCATGCTAGGGCAGCTGTTGTGAACCACTGAGAGGTCAAGTTCTTCTTCGTAAGGTTTCTCTATGGGAAATGCTCCGAAATGGCCCTTGCTCATAATAAAAGTTAAATTATTTTGAAAAATACATACTTTTTTATTTCAGAAACATTTGACATAAGCAATAATAAGAATACATAATCATATCATTTCAAAGTTATTTACTTTTTTGTTTGACAGGTCCTGACACTAAACTAATGCAAAACAGTGGTAAGACAAAGTTTAAAAGGACAAGCATTGATAGATTGATGAATACTCTAGTACTATGGGTAAGTTACAAAAGTAGACAATATCACTAGTCATTGTTATCTTAATATATTTACTCTATCTTGCTGGGAATTCTTTAAGAAGTCTACATTCTCCTTGTGGAGTTTGTTTTTGGGGATTTTGCATTTGAGACTCCGTTACACTGCCTTTTATTTTCTAGACCAGTGGTAGAATTTCTCATCCAGTGGTAGAATTTATCATGAGAGGTAGGTTACTGTTTATGGAGGTATTCATGGTCTTGCAAATTCCCCATATCCCAAGGATTTGTTTTTGAAAAACCAAACATAGTTTTTAAGGCAATTTTGTGTTTTTGTTTTTTTTTTGTTTCAGGCCCTGTCTACATAGCTTATGGTAGGCAGGGCCAGCTTCATGGGTGTGTGATTTGTATAACCACACAGGGCCCCACACTCAGAGGACCTTATATTTGGTTTATTGATCTTCTCTTGCCATCTAGAGATACTTAATACTTTTAGAACAGGTGATCCCACATTTTCATTTTGCACTGAACCCTGAAAATTATGTAGGTGGTTCTGGTTATGAATCCTTTGAGGCCCAAGTCACAGTTGTTCTCCTTAACAGAGGCTTCTAACCTCCTTAGCCCATGATTATCTTTCTCTTATGAATTGTTTTTTCACTTGTGAAGTTTTTGACTTGATATTCTCCACTACCTGTTTACCAAAAACATTCAGATATTCCTTATATTCCATCCTTTTGTCAGTTAATCCTGTGCTGTCTCATACTATTGATATATATATACTCTTTATGTAATACTGCTTTGTCTGCTTATATAGGGGTAAAGTTCAAAGACAGTGACTTTGAAATATAAAGACTGTGACTTCAGACTATGTTTTCTCGTGTACCCTATCACAGGCTCGCAATCATAACGAATCAGAGCTCACTATATATTTGCTTACTTCATATGTAATAGTTGGACTCTGAATAAGGAAAGAAGGAAATTAGCACTTGCTGTTCACTAAATATTGGGCAGGCTCTGTGTTTTACTTTCAGTATTACCTGCAGACCTAGGGTTTTCTCCAACAACACCAGTCCTCTTCATACAGAGCCTATGAGGCCAAGAAGAAATGCTCATAAGGGGCCGTCACCCCGCTGCCCCCCAAGAATTCCTCATTTAAATAGCCCTGACTCCACTTCAGGGCATGTCTTCCCACCACAGAGCAAACCGACCCAATCTTTCATACTAGAAAATATGATGATTCACTGGGGAGTTAGGGGCCAAATCAATTCTTAAATTATGGCATTTAATGTCAAGTATCACCAGTTTTATTGCTCTAAAGTCATTAAGTTTAATTAATTTGTTGTCTCAGCCATTAAAGAGGATACTATGATATAAGTATGAAAGTCATAGAATTTTTAGGAATTCATAGTCCTACTTTCCTCTAATACATGGTTTTCTAATATACTTTAAATCAGGCTTTCCTCAATCTTTTCTTCTTATATACCTATTCTTATATGCCCGTATTATGGAATAATGAAGAAAGCAGCTCTAGAATTTCTGAATATTCTTTCTTGGAAGAATAAGGAGATATAGGAAAATGCATTTCTGTTCTCTCGCCCCACTCCTCCCTCAACTTTGGCTGGTCTCAGCTCCCAACATGTGTGACAGCTGTACAAAGTCCCTGCAACATCTTGTTCAACGCAGGTCTTATGGCCTTTCCTTTCCCAGGAAGGGTTTTAGACTTACAGTAGATTGACCTTGTTGTCTCTCTAATTGTTATACCTACAAATATGTGCTTTTCCTTATACTACTACTAATAACAATTTAAGAGCCTGCTAACTGTTTTCAAGTTGCTTCCCACTTTTTTTTTTATCCTAAAAGTGAAGTGTATATGTCGTGAAGTATTTTAATTATCCTTATATTTCTTGTTGACCTCAAGTAAGGATTGCACAGCCAGATCTATAGCCAAGAGACTTGACTAGTTGGAAACTGTTCCTTATCATTGATATTTTCTTTTGCTTTTATCCCTTGGGTGGCCATATAATTTATCATCCAAACAGGAAACCCTTGAAGGTGAAATGCAACATTATTACTATTATATCTGGATAATAGTTGTGAACTGGGACCGTCCGGGGCAAATTAGTGCATATGGTCTTCTTTAATTAAGCCACCTAAATATATATACTTACGATAAATGGAGGATGTGAAGTTGTTAACTATGTGAACATAGACAAGTTACATAGTCTTTATTGTGCTTCCATTTTACTTTATTTTTAAACTACAAAGTGGGGATAATGACTGTTCCCATCTTAGAGAGTCAATGGGCAAATTCAGTGAGAAAAATGTATGTAAAATATTTAGCTGAGTTCCTGACATAAAAATATGAAACTTTATTTATATGATTAATGGTAAAAAGAGTTTTACATACTTGCTTTTTAAACAACTATTTCTTGGAGTTAGACGTGTCATTAGATCATGTTGATATGACTATTTTTAGGTTCAAGTTAACCTTAACCAGACTTCTATCTTATTTCAGATTTTTGGCTTTCTGATATGCTTGGGAATTATTCTTGCAATAGGAAATTCAATCTGGGAGAGTCAAATTGGGGACCAATTCAGAACTTTCCTCTTTTGGAATGAAGGAGAGAAGAGCTCTGTGTTCTCCGGATTCTTAACATTCTGGTCATATATTATTATTCTCAATACAGTTGTACCCATTTCCTTATATGTGAGGTAAGATGAGAGTTTATATTTTAATGAAATTATTTCATCAAAACTTTTGTTTCTTATAATAGTTTTTGTTTGTTTTAAAATTTCAGCAGTGCAATAAATGTCTTGCTCTAACTGCTTAAAATCTTCAACACCTGTTACAAATGGGGCAGCTTACCTGTTTCATCTGTTTAACTTTATGTTTTTAAATTACATTAAATGTGGTTAATTTTCTTCTTGATTTGATTTGGTTTCTTAGAAATGTTTTTCTTTGTAATATATGGACTACAGTATAATCTCATGTAACCTGATCAATTAGAATTGTGTAAAGTTTGAGTAAGAAAAGGAAGAACATTTTGGGGAGATCTATAGAGAGGGTACCTCTTTGCCACTAGACTGGCTCTAAAGATGCATGTATTCAGGCCCTATTCTACCACTTACTAGCTCCATAACCTTGGGCAAGTGACATCGTCTTCTAGTGTCTCAGTTCCCTCATTTTAAAAATGAAGAAAATGGGGTACGTGCAGTGGCTCACACTTGTAATCCCAGTACTTTGGGAGGCCAAAGTGGGTGGATCACAGGGTCAGGAGTTTGAGACCAGCCTGGCCAACACAGTGAAACTCTGTCTCTACTAA